TATGAAAATTCACCGTAACCAAGGGTTTAAAGCCTCCGCCAAACCTTTTTCCATATTTCGCTTACCGAATCTATGTATTTCCCGGTACGTGTGCATCGGGTTTAGACGCGGGACACTCGGGTTTCCCGGGCGAGCGTAATTCCATCGAGCACACAACAGGCCGAGGCCTTGGAAAAACGAGCCACCGGTCGCTGGAAAATGTTCGCCGACAGATTATTTTCGAACTGATGGTATGTGCACTAGGACACTTGTGTGTAGCGAAGAAAATGTGCGGAGAACTCGGTCGGTCGTATAATCGAGCAGCTCATTTGCCGAATGGATTAACTCCGCAAAACGAATACTGAGGGAATTGATAAAGTGAAATAAATTGAGCGGCGACCAAGTGTATCCACGGTAAAATTTTTAGAAACAAAAAGCGGAGTTGATCGGTTTGACCTGTGAACGTTGCATGTGAGCGTTGCAGTGTGCGCCAAAGGAATATTGTTACTCGTGCACGAACGAAACAAGACTGTAATAAAAGAACTTTGCTCGCATATGGATGATACGGTGCGGACTGTATTGAGTTACTCAGCGGATCGTTATCGTTTTTTCGCGATATTTCGGCTAATTGCAGATATTTGAACAGTTGTAATAGCTGACGCAAGAACGCGCTGTAATTTTAGAAGAAACTTGAAGAATTGGATGACGAGACTACTATTTAAGAATTCAGCTCTTTCCAGATCAACTTTGTTAATTTACGGGTTTCGTGGATTTGCAGTGTAACAATTAGTTAACAATCATTTTGTATGAATTCTACTCGTTTGAAACTTCATAAAACTACCAGCAAATGGAATAAACCGTAGTTCATCGCAGTTCTCCGACACGGTTGCATGAACATTCAAAAAAATTTGTAGTCTAATTATTATTGTCGTTATCTTGCGCAATATTTCACGAGTACAAACAGGATTTCTCTGGTGTTTTCTTTCAAAGCTGGCGCGATTACGCGAGCAATAAATACAGACCATTATTATAATTACTTTCGAGACACGGTCTCTCTTAGAGGGGAAACCCGAGGCGAATAAAATTTACGTGACGAACGCACGTAATCGCGGCGCGTTAGGCGATACAATGAGTCCGAGCCGTGTTAATTTTATAATGAATTATCCCCCAACAACGATCAGTCGTCAGTGACGCATCGCAGAACGATAATAATAGCAGCGTTTTTCGTTTCACGGTTCACTAAATCCGTTAACGAAGAAACGAAAAGACAAGGGAAAGAAAAGATCGAATTAATATCACGTAAGAAAAAGGCAGCGAGAACACGCGAAAATATAAATGACAGAATTTAATAAGAAACTCAAGATCGTGATCCGACATGAAATAAAATGTAACGCGGAGAAGAAAAAAAGGATCCGGAGTAACCCGAAGAGACGGGATTATATTATACGTCTCTGTTGTGCCGTTCGGCGTTTCTTTCCTCCCTCCCCCCACGTCGGAATCGTTGCGACGAGTTTTCGTTTCGCGACGGAAACAATAAAGCTGCCGGTTAAAAGCTGCCGAGCCTCGAGTGAATAAAAACAAGTATCTCCAAGAACACTCGAGACCAGCACGGCGAACTTAACGAAAATGGTTGTTCGAGATCTCGGGCGGGAGGTTCTCCGGTATCCTCTCCGCTCGACGGACCCTGGCTCCGCCGGATTACCACCTTTCCCGTCCCCAGCGGAATTCCCTTCCAACAGTGTTGCGGAACTGGGAGCGGGACAGTCCCCGGAATTGTTTCGAACCCGTCGATCACAAGAAACGTGCGAACTTCCGGAGAAGCTGCACGGACAACGGCGAAAAACATGCGGCGAACATATCACCCGAATTGGTCAACTCCGCCATCTTTTGAATTTTCTCAAATTTTCTCGTTAAGGACGAATCGCTTGATTGACTCGTAGCTTTCTACTTTTTTCAGCTGAATTTCTTTATTGCTTTGAATTCAGTGCCATAAAATAGAAAACATTCTTTTGGCCATGTGAAAAATTGAATGATAATAAAGATTAGGTCAAAATTATACTATCTTATGCGTTTTACGTGTTCGATAGGTTAAAGCTGTGCTTGTAATAATAAGGTGAAATGCGTTCTGTGATGTTTATTTGATCTTTCATTTAAAGGGAAATTTTTGGAATCAATGTATACCGCTGCATCAGTTTTCTCTACTTTTTGTTTCGTAGAGTTAACAATTTGGATAATGAGCGACCTATGCTCACGAGCGATCTCACGCTGATGAAAAAAGAGAAAAACGGGAATTAAGGGAAATAATTTATTTACTTTTACAAGAGCGCACACCGCTGCCATAATTAATTAAGGCAGTTGATTCGAGTGAACTGTAATATTTGCAAGCGTATTTTCGTATTAATAGCGTCTGTAGCGATGTTCAGTGAACCTGGCCGCGGTAAATGGCATGAAATTCAATAACGGAGCGCGATTCGATAATCTCATGCATTTCGCAGTAATATTCTTCATGTAAAACTAAACATATTTCTCGAAAAAATCGAAGTTTTATAATGCACCGGTGTACCCGACCCTTTGCACTCGAGAGGTGACTCTCAGTCGCCACTTGATTTGATGCAGTGGAACGTTTAATCAGTTCATTCTTTAATATTAATACTGTATAATATAATTTCGTTCCTTAATTTAATCAGGAACAAATTTTGAATGTTTCCAATGAAAAACTTTCGAGTGCAACGAGCGGTATTCTGTAGAACAGAATTTCAGAATGATTTCCGCGAACGAATAAAAACAGTGACGAGTTAACTCGTCTTTCCTAGCAAACGGATCGACATCGACTGAAAAGGTCAGAGAGAACCGTGTTAGGGACCGGTGGCAAAAACAAAAAAAAATTGCTAGTTGTCGCGCGTATACGATTCGCGAGAAAAGTTCGGCGGCAGAGTTGGTAATAGTGGCAAAAATCCTGCATGGTAGCATCTCGTAACGGCCGCTGCTCCTATGAAATACCAAGTACACTCGACCGCCTTTGAAACCGGTAGAAAAAGGCCGGGCGACCGACGGGCCACTGGAACACGCTATTAAATAGGCCAAGCTGGCTACAAGGGAAATGATTAA